GATCTGCACCGAACAGAGCAAGAAACAGCAAACAAACAAAGCAAAGCAACATATAAACAAACAAACCAAAAAAACCCACACAAAACAAAAAACAAAGCCAGATCAGCAAGGGGATGGTGAAGATCCGAGGTGAAAGAACGGAGGTGATAGTGGCGATGGTGGATCTGTAGAAGAGAGAAAAATCAAGGTTTTTTTTTTTCTGTTTTCTCCTTCTTTTTTTTTCTTTTTTTTTTTGGGTTTGGCTGCTTGGGCAGCCACACCTCTCCTTCTCCCTTTACACGAGAGGAAATTAGGGTTTTGTAAATTTGGGTTTTGATGGGCTGCTCAATATTGGGCTGTGCTTATGGTTTGTTTTAATAAATTTCATCCTCAGTTTTTTGATTTTTTCAATTTAGTCCTTTTCTTGTTTTTTTTCTTCAACTTCTCCCTCAAATTTTTCATAAAATTTTTTTATAACGATAAATCTGAAACGGTACGCGAAAAATTCCGATATCCGGTACGTACCGTTCCAATAACAAAACCGGTACGTATGCCGGTACGGTATTGACTATTTTGATGGTAACTCTGCTCTCCCCCCTTGCCCCAAAAAAAAAAAGAGAAATTTGAAAGAAGCTTACAACCCAAACCTTAACCTTGGTGGGAGAGGCACTGAAGCATAAAGTTAATATATGTAGAAGAGTTTTTTATGCTTGCATATTTGAGTAAGTATATTCTCATTGATTTTTTCCCCATTCTATTATATACTTGCATTTGAGTATATTTGTCTATGTTTAGATTGATTGAAATGTGTAAAATAAACTTATTGGAGTTCACTCAAATGGTAATTTAAGATGTGAATCAAACTGAAAACATAACTGTAAATCTCTCCAACATCATTTGAAAGCAAACAGTTTCATCATTTGAAAGCAAACAGTTTCAATCAATGGATCATGCCCACCATTTTTGAAAATGAAATGTTAGTAGGTACATGTGAATAGAATGAACAAGTATTTTTGAGATTAGTTGGGTGAAAAATTAGGCTACTCTTTTTTCTTTTTCTTTTTCCTTTTCTTTTCTTCTTTTTTTTTTAACACTAGGTAATTTACAAGAAGCAAGAAACTTTTACAGAGTAAAAATGTAATTTTTGAAACTTTAACTATGGCTATTGTCAAGGATTTTGGTCACCATCCAATACAGTTGTAAGTGCAGAATACTTGTTTCATCCAAAAAAAAAAAAAAAAACCATGAAGTGAGGCCTAATTAGAAAATTTGATAAAGGTTAGTTACCTCATATGAAACAACTGAAAAAGTGTATACCTAATTAAACTATTTATAAAATTTTGATGAGCACATAAAAGATTACCCTTCTATTTTTTAAGTTACTCCGTTTTTTAGAAAATTTTTTTTTAAAAAGGAAACTTTTTATTTCACTTTGATTTTTCTCTCTCTTTCTTTTCTGTCTCGTCACTACAGTACTCACTCACACACAGGCACCTAGACCGAGACCGACCACCATTAATTAAAATAAAATCATCATCACCACAGCTTTGATTCCAGGGACCGACCACCGCACCCAACTCCACCATTCCCCACCACTGAATTCCGCCGCAGATCCTCCGGCTCACTTTCCCAAATGCCCAAATAAAATACAACCCTACTTCATCTCCGTTTTTTAAAACCACCGCAGAAATCCATGGTCATGGATTCTATTTCTATCACAACAAACAAGCCGCAACAGCAACCCAAGAAGAAGAGCTGGTTGCTGATCTTGACCTTCTCTCTTCTGCTTTCCACTCTCCTCATCACCATTACAGTCACCTCCACCTCTTCCCTCTTGTACTACGCTCGCACCAGCGCAAGCGGCAAGAACCCAGTTCCGGAGTTTGTGGAATCCAAGCTACATGTGGCGCCCACATCTCGTGTCCCGGTTCCCAAGCTGGCTTATTTGATTTCTGGGTCGGCAGGAGACGGTGAGAGCTTGAAGAGGGCGCTGAGGGCGCTGTACCATCCCAGGAACCAGTACGCGGTGCATCTGGATTTAGAGGCCTCTGCGGAGGAGAGGCTGGAGGTGGCGAGCTTTTTGAGGAACGAGCCGATCTTTGCCGATGTGGGAAATGTGAGGATGGTCACCCGGGCTAATCTGGTGACGTACAGAGGCCCTACGATGGTTACCAATACACTTCATGCGGCAGCCATTTTGTTGAGGGAAGGTGGGGACTGGGATTGGTTTATCAATCTGAGTGCTTCAGACTATCCCTTGGTCACTCAAGATGGTAAGTATGCATCTACGATCAACGATTCTTGGTGGGTCTTAGTTATTTTTCTGCTTTTAATTTTCTGCAATTCGAAGTGGGTATGTTTTTAGGATGTCTTAAGCTGTTACATTTGTATTACTTTGTGGTGTGGTTTTGAGCTAAAAATGGGGAATATGTTTCAAGGATTACTAATCTTACTTTCTGCTTTGAATTGCTGCCTCTGGTTTTTTGTTTGGAGTTTCTGTGCTCTGATTTTGAAATCTCAGCCGAATTCATCTGACAACTTAAATGTTGTTTCCTTCTGTATATATTGCTGCTAATATTGAACACCCTCTTTTCTTTCCCTGCAGCTAATTGTGTCTCGTTGATTCCATTTGCGTTACTAATTTAGAAAAGAAGTAATGGTCTACTAAGTATTTATGATCCTGTATGCCTTTCCGGTGCCTTTTATAACCTTTTATAACTTTCATATTTACTTTTTGTGCAACAGATATGCTTCAAACATTGTCAGGCATACCAAGAAACCTCAATTTTATTGAGCATACCAGTGACATTGGTTGGAAGGAGTACGTACTTCATCGTTTCTTTTCTTCTTAGTATCTTATTTCTGGTTAAGTTTTTCTTTCTTAGGTTTGAATGACACATACCATCTTTAAGGTAGGATAGCATTTGTCTGCATTTTATGTTTAAATCTGCCTCTTTGGAATGTGTTTTCTCTCAACTTCTAGGTATCAGAGAGCCAAGCCTGTTATAATTGATCCAGGGCTTTATAGCCTGCAAAAATCTGATGTTTTTTGGGTGTCAGAGAAGAGAAGTGTTCCCACTGCTTATAGGCTATTTACAGGTGAGGATTTTTGTCTCTCTTGTCGGCTCTGCATGTAATAATTCTACTGCTTGTTGGTTGTTACCGTTTTGCAGATGTCCTTGGAATTTGAAAAATATTTGACTCCTTTACATGCCATAGAGTGAAAGTGCTATTGCTATCTTCCTTTCTTCACCTGAAGGGTACTTGAATTCTGAGGGTATCTGATCATATTTTTCCCTCGTTTGGTCAGGTTCTGCTTGGATGATGCTTTCTCGCCCTTTTGTGGAGTTCTGTTTATGGGGGTGGGACAACCTCCCAAGGATAGTCCTTATGTATTATGCCAACTTTCTTTCTTCACCTGAAGGGTACTTTCACACAGTAATCTGCAATGCTGATGAATTTCGAAACACAACTGTAAATCATGACCTCCATTTCATATCGTGGGACAACCCTCCGAAACAACATCCACATTTCCTCACCATTGATGACTTCCAGAGGATGGTTGACAGCAATGCTCCCTTCGCTAGGAAATTTGGCAGGAATGAGGCAGTTCTTGACAAGATTGACACTGAACTTTTGGGCCGTAGCACTGACGGGTTTGTGCCAGGTGGGTGGTTTGGTAGGGAAGGAAATTCAAACCTAAGTGTACATGTGAAAAGAAATGATACTGAACTTAGGCCTGGTCGCGGTGCTGAAAGACTAAAAACTCTCATCGGCAGTTTGTTATCAGCAGAGGATTTTCAATCAAAGCAGTGCACCTGACGTGAGAAATTAAGAGAAACATCTTTCATGGAACTCAAAGTCTTTAGTCACACGCTTACACTAACTAGACGGATAAATGGTCCCCCTGGAATTGAAGCACTGCTTATGAACCAGGTAATGAGGCTATAAGAAGCCAGAAGAGGGAGATAAATAACAATCCAAAGTATATGCCTATACCTCAAATATTTTTGTAGTTCGATCACTGTATCTAATTTAGTTGGTGTAGATGATTAATAAGATCTGAGTATTGTACTTTCATCTGTTTATGTATTCTGCAATTTTTTTATCTTGGTCTTTTAGAGAACATCTAGAGCAAAAGATTTTCTTCAAAACATAGCTAAAATAGTCAGCATAGCTAAAATAGTCAGCACTTGCGCTCCCATGATTCAAAAAACAATACATACAAGAATATGTTTCGATTCTGATAGGACCTCCGGGGGAAGACTATTTAGATGATTATAATTTGATTCTTCCATGTAAGAAACAGTAGCTGTTTGTTTCCAATAATTTGTAATCATTCGAGGATTTATAATCTCACTTCGAGATCTTTTAGGAACTATATTTTTGACATGTTCATGAGGTAGAAGTCCACAGCAAGAGTGGATGTCAGCTCAAAATAGGGGTGGGAATTTGCCCGGATGCTGGTGGGGTCTGGTGGGGATCATCATTAAGGAGACAAGATGGGGAAGAATATTTCTTTTAATGGGAGGCATTTTTTTCCCATGAAATTACATAGGAATTCCACATAGGAATTCCCCATCTGGTGGGCCTGTAAGGAATCTCATTTTCACAAAAAATTAAACGAATATATAAATTAATTTAATTTAACACATTATAACAATGGATAATATACATTTCAAATTTAAATCTAATTAAATAAAAATTAAACTTAACTCAAGTAAGTTGATTTAACTATTTATATTAGATTAATATTTATTTATGTTTGGAACAAATCTTTTGATTTTACTATTTATATTGAATTAATTTTTATTTATGTTTGGATAATTTATATTTGATTTTATATTTACAGAATTTTAATTAATTACA